CCAACTGGTCAACTGTGAATCTAGAACGTTGTATATGCTCCACACTGGTACAGTGGAGGCCTTTTGGTGGGCCAGAAGGAGCCAAAAAAGCCCTCCACTGAACCGGTGTGGAGCATAACCAGCGTATCTGGATGCACAGATGACCCAGGGGCATAAAGGAATGATTTGTATGGCTCAGTGTTTTCTCTGTTTTCAAACTGATACCAGCCTAATAGAAAATAAATAATTATCTCAAAATTACTATTTGGAAGAGAAAGCATTAAACGCTATTAATGAAATTCAGCAAAGACGCTTGAAGAGGTGGTAGAACCTGAGAAGGGAATAACATTAGACGGAGGAAGAACTAACTTAGGTGTAGTCAGCAGCTGTTCACAGAAAAAGAGCTTAGAACAGGACAAATGTGTATTGGAAATCTCTCTGCTTTACAATGCATCAGCAATGACTGTGGAAGTAATAGACAACTCCTCATTACAAATGCCAAGCAAGCTTGCTTGAAGAAAGGCAGCTTCAATGTAAGGACACAGCAGGTTAAAGCTTGGTAACGTTGAACTGAAAACCTTTGCCTGCAGCTAAGGATAAGGAACACTTAATTAAGACACTTGAGATTCAAAGCCCCCCATCTTTCCCTGCTTGTGAGTCCCATGTAAGTATATGCTGAGCCATAATAAGTATTACAAAAATCTGCTTTTAATAAAGTGTATTCTCACTTTTGCATCTAAGTTGGGATAACATCTATCATATACAGGTGAAACATGAAAAATTAGAATATCGTGCAAAAGTTCATTTATTTCACTAATGCAACTTAGCCGTCTACCAGGAGATTTTGGAGCACTTCATGCTTTCTTCCGCAGACAAGCTCTATGGGGATGCTGACTTCATTTTCCAGCAGGACTTGGCACCTGCCCACACTGCCAAAAATTTTCGGAGATTGTGGATCTGGGTTTTCATGAGCTGTAAGCCATAATCATCACAATTATGACAAATCACGGCTTGAACTATCTTGCTTTGCATGTAATGAGTCTATCTCATATATTAGTTTCACCTTTTAAGTTGCATTAGTGAAATAAATGAACTTTTGCACGATATTCTAATTTTTCGCGTTTCACCTGTATATGTTAACTGTTCCCATTCACATAACATAACTTAAAATAAATTGCTGCTTACATTTTTCTTTGCATTTTTGTGAAAATTTCAAAATGCAAGTTTTCCCGTGTCCTGTTAAAGGAGGGGGGCTGGGTAGTTAATGTTTACCATGTTAACCTTGTCTGTACTGTGCTGGAAGATGTTCATTATCATTTGTACAGGGCTGTCTGTCCTAACAAAGGGTTAGAGATCTCAAGGCATTGTATGTTACTGTCCCTTAAGTGTGTCCCTTATCTTCGCATTGTCATCTATTCTAAGCAATGGAAGCTACGCGTAGTGTCCTGTGCATAATCCTGATCCAAAGCAACAACTAGAAAGGTAGGAAATAACAGGGATCCCAACCTGAAAAAAAAAAATGTCATGGAGGTGCCCTTCTCATTTCAGGGAGATGACCTCTGCCCCCCCTCCCCCTTATCCACTGGGGGGGGGAGCACCCCCCTGAAATGATGGCGGATAGCAAAGAAACTATTGCTTCTCGTGCTATCTGCTGTTTTTTTTTAGTATTCTGACAGCTGCTGCCGTCAGAATAAAAAAAAAACAACCCAGCATAGAAATGAATGGGTAGATTGCTATTGGCTATTTCAATTTGCAATAGCAAGCCGGTTATTGCACCCGCCCTCTGCTGCTGTCAATCAGCAGAGGAGGACCTGTGGAGAACTTCAGGTCCACCTCTGCTGACTGACAGCAGCAGAGGGCGGGTGCAATAGCTAGTCTGCTATCGGCTATTCAAATAGCCAATAGCAATCTAGCTATTCACTTACGGCTGACGGCTGCCGGCGGCTCCGATATCAGAATAAAAAAAAAAAAAAAAAACAGACAGCAGGGAAAGGTTTACTCTGCTAGATAGAGCAGAGTAAACCTTTCCGGGAGAAAATGTTTCTCTCCTGGGCGTCTGGGAGCTGCTATCCAATAGTGGGAGACTCCCAGAATGTCCGGGAGAGTTGGGATGTCTGAAATAATAAAACATTTTCTTTCTGTATGCTTTGTCATTGGGCGCACATAACAAACATATAGCGGGGGTTTCTTAAATGTGACTTCAAAAGTGGAATTAGGGAACAATGGTACTTATATACAAGAAACAGTAACATGTTCTCTGCACTGCATGCATTGTTAGGTATTATTTGCCTAGGTAGACCTAATACCCTCCAAATACTTACCTGGGGGCAGGATGAGGCTGTCTCCATAAATCAATAAGTACTATCCTTGTCGACCTCCTTACCGATATGTACCTTGTAGTGGAACATATCGGTAAGGCTAAAGCCTGATGAAGGGACCCTGTGCAGTCAATGCTAAAGCCTGATGAAGGGACCCTGTGCGGTCCCGAAAGCGCTTGTTGGTCATATGACAAAAAAACTTCAATAAATGAAGCTTTTGCTATCCAAAAATGACTGGCGTGCTGGTGACATTTCTATAATTTTTCTCTCCATAAATCCCCTGCCTGAGCAGCCGATCAATGCCTCTGTTTCACACTGATGGTGCCCAGAGCAGTGGCATTCACCTGAAAGCAGCAGGTAAGTGTCAGCTGGCTTGTAAAAGGAGGAAGGAGGGGACCCGGTCCTGCCATCAAGTATTTAATCAGTGACCATTTGAAGTAGAAGGCAGCAAGGATGGAAGAAGGTGACACAATATGGTGCATTTAAATCCACTTTAAAGAACAACTCTGGGCATTTTAAAAATTAGCCCTTGCTGTAAGGCTACCCCTGCACTACATGGATTAAGTGCTTGTTTTAGTCTAGGGTCTAAAATAAAAAAGATATACTGAACCGATCCCTACTGGCTGCTGGATGGATTCCCACAGCCTTTTTCCCCCAGGCTCCGGTGGTCTAAGTACCACTGATGCCCTCATGTCCATTATAGGATCATTAACTTGCACTAGATGTGAGGACGCCGGGGGACACAGCTGGAGCGAAGGGGAAGAAAGGTGAGCAGTCATCACTACAGGATCGAGGACCAGGTGAGTATACATGTTTTATTTTACACCCTAGGCCTAAACCTAAACGAACACTGCAAGGGTCATTTTTTAAATGCCCAAAGTTGTTCTTTAAGGGTTCAAGTTTAAGTTAGGTATAAGCAGACTTTGAATAAAAATATAAGGTCCACTTAACCCCCAACCCCCAATTAATGAACACTAAGGGCCAATTCACACTATTGTGTTGCGGTAATGTGCGCATTACCACAAAGAGCAGCAACACACAATACATGCATTAGTGCAATGCTGTGCCATTCATACTAAATGCAACTGCAACACATTTTGTGGACGGAAATGCATTGCAGTGAAGCACTAATGTGCATTGCGGTGTACTAGTAGAATTGGCACATGTATCTTTTGGGTGTGTGTTGGTGCATTAGGCAACAACGCATGTTAACATGTGGCATAAAGTGTGTGCATTATCACAATGCAATGGAGTGAATGGGCCCTTAAAATGCTTTATGTTTTGCAGTGTTGATTAAGAAAAAAATACGTACCTCACCTTAATTAAATTATGGACATTGTGCCCCTCATTGGAATTTTGCTGCCTTAGGCCTTTTCTACAGTGTCTTATGCATTGTAGCTTCAGCCATCACTCTCTGATGCTTTATTTTGGCAGGATAGTCAGCGTTAGGTTAAGGATTAAGGTTGGAGGGAATTGGATTAAATGTTGCAATCAGGTTAGATGTTAAGGGTTCATCTTTAGGAATCGGTTAGGGGTGACGCTTACATATTAGATGAGGGTAAGTATTAAAGGCTCACACTAGAAAAAACAATGAATAGGACTATTGCTTTTCACAGAGGTCACCTTATCATTAGATGATGGTTATTCCATAAAAACAAGTCTCATAATCCCTCATACTCTCTACATGGGTTTATAATGTTGATAATCCCCCGTATGAAGAGTTTATCACGGCCGTATGGCAATAAAATGCTTCTATAGGCTACTTCTCCAGTGTAACCCACATGACCACAAACACCTTTTATATGTAGTCACAGCTGCCTCTGGAATAATATAAACATCAGATCCATGAAAATGTATTAAAGTGACACTAAGCTCAGGAGTTAAGTCTTAAAAATACATTCAAGTACCCTAACTATTAACAAAAATGTCTCTTATTTGTGTATCACTCGGCTGTAGATCCTCCAATCATCTCTGAATTGGTGCTGACACTGTCCTTCCTTCTGGAGGGTGGCTACTTTTGTTACCTATGGTCCCTTTGTGTGTTGTAAAGTAGCCACCGCTCCAAACTCACTTTTCATAGAGACCCTTCAAAAGGAAAGCTGTTATGAAATACATGGGCTCTCACTCTCTGGTTTCAGTACTGGAGTAACTGGAGACTCCCTTTATCAAGGTGACAACTCGAAATGTTAGGGGACAAGTTTAATAAAGAAGGCTTCCTTGTCATTGTGGCCATTCCATTTTCTGTTGGTTGTTTCTACTAATATGGAAGCTCATCTTAGGATCTTATGTGCCACTGTATGTTACATGCAGAGTTGTCCCCAGAATGAGGCAAGTGGCATCTCTTTGGGTCATGTGGGGGGCTCCTTTCTGGTCAGAGCATCCCAGGTTGCCAAAAGCAAGGTGGGAGATGTGTAAGGGCCATACACATCTCTCTGTCCAACTCTTAGCAATATAGGACACTGGCCGGCCTCCTGCCCATTTCCTGGCAACCAGTGATGTCAGTGAGCTGGCCAAAATATTGGCTAAAGCCATTGAGAAGATCCCCCACAGCCACCCCCCACCACCTGCCCGGCCTCAGGTAGCAAAAAAGGTTGAGATACCCCTGTGTGTATATGACCAAATCTGTTAAATCATGCTGGCTAAGACTAAGCCTGAACTAGGTTTTGCATCTGGATTGGTGAATGTTGGACACCATACAGGTACCCTTCGAGTGGACTATTACAGCTTCATCTCTATTATCACGGATGGTCACCTTTTCTAGACCTCTAGTCAGTTGCTGGTCTGGGTTTGAAGGCAAGAGCTTGCCAACTCTATCACCTGCCAGGAAAAAAAACTGGAAGTCTTTACATGGTAAGCTGAAACTGTACAGGAAATTTTCAGTCACATGAGCCATGAGTTGCCCATCACCCACTCATGCAATTAATCCTGCCTATTCATTTCTATGCTGATCATATGACAATGATTGGTAGCTGCGATCTTCCGCCAATAACTCAGGATTATACAATGCTGTAATTATATCAGATAAATGGAACATGGTCATGCAGTGCTGCACAATTAATTGCAGATGCTTGCAGTTACATGCAATCATTCTGAGAACACTATGGAATTAAAATGTTTTGATTTAGCTATAGCCAACATCCAAACCGTTTTTTTTTTTTGCTTTTTTGCATTAGAGAGCATGGGAAGAGGGTTTAATTGATGTCTGTGGTTATTGTCACAGAAACAGAGAGTGATCGTAAATTCAAAATTTTACAGTTTATATTGACACCGGAACTGGAGGTAAGGAACACTGGAACTGGAAGTGACAAACATTGGAACTGGAGGTGAGGAACACTGGAACTGGAGGTAAGAAACACTGGAACTAGAGGTGAGGAACACTGAAATTGGAGTTGAGGAACACTGCAATCAGAGGTGAGAAACACTGGAATTGGAGCTGAGGAACACTGGAATTGGAGGTGAGAAACACTGGAATCAGAGGTGAGAAACACTGGAATCAGAGGTGAGGAACACTGGAATTGGAAGCGAGGAACAATGGAAGTGGAGGTGAGGAACACTGATTGCAATGTTCCTCACCTCCAGTTCCAGTGTTCCTTACCTCCACTTCCAGTGTTCTTTACCTCCGGTTCCGGTGTTCCTCACCTCTGATTCCAATGTTTCTCACCTCCAGTTCCAGAGGTGAGGAACATTGGAATTGGAGGTGAGGAACACTGGAATCGGAGGTGAGGAACACTGGAATTGGAGGTGAGGAACACTTGAACTGGAGGTGAGCAATACTGGAACTGGAGGTGAGCAATACTGGAACTGGAGGTGAGGAACACTAGAACCAGAGGTAAGGAACACTGGAACGGTAGGTGAGGAAAACTGGAACTGGAGGTACGGAACACTGGAATTGGAGGTGAAGAACACCGGAAACGGAGGTGAGGAACACTAGTACTGGCAGTGAGGAATACTGGGACAGGAGATGAGAGGACATCTTGCAATGGGGACACCTGTACCAGTGACAACTGTTAAACAGTCAGCAGAGATTTCATCTCACTTCCTGTGGTGTCTTTGGGACGGAAGTGAAGAGAAATCTCTATATTGGGCCATAGACTATAGAAGTGAAAGACAATGATTTAAAGTGATATTAAAGTCAAAAGATTTTTAAAGTGGTATTAAACGCTCCAACTTTTCGTAATGAATCCAGATCAAACAAATATACATGGCCCAGCAAAGCATTCCTTTGCATTTCTGCCCAAACACTTACCATCATCATGTTTCTGAACAACCGCTTCCAACAGGGTTATTCACGTAGCTTTGGCTGTTCCTTCGGCTCTCTGCGGCCGCCAGAGGGCTGCTGTACGGGCTATTCACAATAGCCCATACAGCAGCCGAGCCGAAGACATGTGTTTCGGCTCGACTGAGCCGAAGTGACAGCCGAAGCGGGGCGAATGGCCTTCCCAAGGCTGGCCGTTCGCCCGGCAAATAAGAGCTGGGCAGAGGACCTGGGGACGCTGATCTGTCATTAAATAATAACAACGGGGTAGGAGCCAGCCGTGACGTCATGGCCGTCTCCGCCCAGTTGTCATTCATTGGCCTGGACCGCTAGAAGACTGTAGCAGGTGCCGGCCAATAGGAAACAGTTGGGCGGAGCTAGCTGTCACAGCGAGCTCCGCCCAGTTGTTGTTTTTTCTTTAAAATATATATATTTTTTTACATTTTTAAAATCATTTTGCAAAAAAAAATTTGTAACAATATTTTCACTTATTTGCTATTCTGCTTGGTACCACTGCGGCATTCGGCTATTCACTCACTGCCGTTCGCCCCTATGAGAATAGGGGCGAACGGCAGCAAGTGAGCTGCGGAGCTTCGGTTCAGCCGCTCCAGATGTTGGATCGGCTGAGTCGAAGTCCTTCTGCACTTCAGAGCATGTTCGGCCGGCTGAAATCAGCCGTACTGAGCCGGAGTGAATAGCCGAACGTAGTTCGGCTCACTTCACTTTGGCTGGGTTATTCACTTGGCTGTCTTCGGCAGCTTTGTGAATAACCCCCCAAGTCTCTCAGCTCAGCTTCCCTGAACTTTCTGTCCAGTACAAGATCACAAAGGACAGTGCAGACTCCAGCAACTGTTCATCTACTAGATTGGAGAAGGAAGGAGGGAGGAGAAGGGGGAAGGGCTTGATTTGCTGTGTCTCTGTGGAGACACACACAGCTTACTAGCACACACAAGTGTGACTCCATAGCACTCTATTTGAGAAAGGAGTCACTCTAAAACAGCAAATCAGGCCTAGTGCTCAGGAGACCAGCTGATTGTGCCGTAAACTAAAACTTTCAAACATTAAGGAGCAGCACCCATTGTACGTTATTTAATCAGCATTTTAAATACCTTAAAATCTTTTTGACTTTAATATCACTTTGAGCTATTCCAAATGCTAATTATATCACTTACAATGGTTGCTGCTCAGTGATTTTCAAAAGTTTTAGTTTCCTGCAGAATCAGCTGGTCCCCTGAGCACTGAGCACTGACCCCTGATTTCCTGTATTAGGGTGACTCTTTTCCCTTGCAGTGTCCTGTGGAGCCACCTTTGTATGTGCAAGTAAACTGCGTGTCTCCACAAACACACAGGCACAGCAAGGCAAGATGCTCTCCACCTCCTTGCTCCTCCAAGCTTGTAGATGGATAGCGGCTGGAGACTTTGTGATTTTGTACTGAACAGAAAGTTCAGGGAAGTGGAGTTGAGAGAGTTGGATCTGTTCACAAACATGATGACTGTAAGTGCTTGGGTAAAAGTGCAAAGTAATACTTTGCTGGGCAATGTATATTATTTTGATCTGGATTCATTATTGAAAAAAGGTTTGAGAGTTTAATACTACTTTAAGTATATCTTACAAAGTTACATAGAAGATAAGGTTGGAAAAAAGATATAGGTCCATTCAGCCCAACACCACATTATGTTATCTATTCTAAGAGCCCGTTCACACTAACCAGTGTGTTCAAGGCACGGTTCTATGCCATGAATGCACTGGATGGCATACACAAACCCTCCCCGCGTTCTGGGGCGGGAGGGGGCGCGGTGGTGCCATTCAATTGGCACCGCAGGCACGCCTTCCATCCGCAGTGCGATCGCCTTCACCGGAATGTGTGGTACTGCAAAGCCCTGAGTTCCATTGTGGTACGATCACAAAACATAGTGCATGCACATATGCTGTGCTCATCCAGGATGAAGTTTTATGAAGTTTTACAATGCTGATGTTATAACAGGAGAATATATGCTGGGACTTTAGAACTCCTTTAATTTGCTGAAAGCATTGATGCCCTCTCTTCAGTTTCAATTTCCATTACTTAATTATTCCATGTAGCTGAGGCCCTCTAGCTCCTTTTTAATTTTGTTGTTCTTGGCTGGAGCCTTACCAATTCCAGGACATTCCTTCTAATAACTGGGGACAAAATCTGAACCACATACTTAACTACCTCCCGGCCAGCCGTTGTGTATACACGGCCGGCCGAAAGCTTCTTGGATGTAACTGGGCGTGTATACACGTCCTGTTACATCCGCCCGCTCAGGCGCGCGCGCGCGGGATATCTCCGCTATTTGAAAACAGGCAGCGATGCCCGTTAATATACAAGCGATCCGCCGGCGGATCGCTTGTATGAGGCCCCGAGACATGCGCCCCCCCCCCCCGCTTTCAAGCTGGTCCCGGGCTCCGGTGCGAGCCCGGGACCAGCATAGTGCCTCTGTCACATGGGATCAGAGGGAGCTCGGTACACGAGCTCCCTCCGGTCCCCTCTCCGCTGTCAGAATGCGGAAGTGTTGTATATTACATCACTTCCGCATTCTTGTGTCACTCTCCAGCTTCAGATGCTGGAGAGAAGCTGATGAAGCAGATCTCTGCTTCATCAGCTTCTTCAGGGGGGTCCTAGGTGACATTAGGGGTCTTGGAGACCCCCTGATGTCTCCATAAAGAGGACCTGTCACCTCTTTTGCTATCACATAAGGGGGTTTCTCAGCCCCCTCTGTGATAGCAATAAAGTTAAGTGGAAAAAAAAAAAAGTACAAAAATTTAAAGTTTCCCCCCCAATTTTTTTAAAGTTACACAAAAAAGAATTAAAAAAAACAAATTTTTTTTTAAAGTCCCCACCCCTACATACACGCATGTAAACATGCGTCAGGTGCGCATACCTGCGAAAACGACGATTGCACCCATTACGCCGCACATGTTACATATCGCCGCGAACGTCGGAATGAGAGCAATAGTTCTAGGGCCATCAATCACTGATAACACTAAACTGATGAGCGGTAAAAGCTTTTAAAGCGTCGCCTATGGCCAATTTTGGGTATGCTAGTTTTTTGCGATTTTGCGAGTGCGCGCAATTTTTACGCTTGACATGTTTGGTGTCTATTTACCCGACGTGACCCCGTCTTTTATATTTTACCAAAAAAGTGGGTAATATTAGTTGTGTTATAACATAATGTAGAAAAAAACTTATTTTTTTCAGAATTTTCAGTAATTTCTCCTGAATATAGTAAAAAATAAAACCCCCAGTGGTGATTAAATACCACCAAAAGAAAGCTCTATCTGTCCCCCAAAAATGGTATAAAATTAATTTCAGTACAGCGTTGCATGACGGAATAAATGTCAGTCAAAGTACTGCAGCGCTGAACACTGAAAAATGGCCTGGCCAGGAAGGGGGTCTAAACACCTGGTCTTCAAGCGGTTAAAGGAGAACTATGAGCTGAGTGCTCCGATCTGCCAGACAGCGCAGCCCTAACAAAAAACAATATTTTGTTAGGGGTTAGAGTATTGATTTTTCCCTCGAATAAATACCCTTTTTAATGAACGAGAGTGTAACGCCCAAACCTTTTGTTTGAGGAACGGTTAATGGTCACGCACATCAATAAAATCCTGATTGATTTGAACCCTCTCAGGATTTTATTGATGCCCGTGATTATTGTTCATCATTGTTACAAGAAGAGAAATCTCTCCATTGGGATAGAAAAAAAGTGACAGCGGACCTTACCATTCCCTACTTTAGTTAAAACAAACAAAAAAAGGTTTTGGCTTTAGATATATCTTAAATGTGGCAATCCAAAAACAACTGTGGGTGATATTTTGTGCAAGTGGTGTGACACAAGCTGCTCATACATGGTACACACAGTGCCGGCCTATAGCTATTCAATTAGCACAGAACAAGGAGGATTTCCAAACCTGTCCAGTCGATATTCCAAACATCGCTAAGCTGCTGGTGCTAATGACTTTTGCCCAAACATGATCAATAAATATTTGGTTGGACTGCATGTATAATGTTAGATCTTCTGAACAATTAAAAGAGAACTATTAGCAAACATTTTGTTTGGCTTTAGTCCTCTTTTGTGTCACATGAGTATATTTACTAATGCACTCCTGTGACCCAAAGTCAGCATATATCATCGTGCTACTGCCCGCTATATGCGCAGAACCGTGTTGTCAGTATCCACCCCACTGCCTGATTAACAGCTGGCTCTGCCTCTCTAAATCCAGAGCCAGCAGAGCCCGCCTCCTCCCCTGTCTGTCGCTTCAATGAGTGCTGGAGGAACGGAGAGGGGAGGAGGGAATCCCTGCAAGGAGTGGTGACTGACAGTCAGTGAACTTTGCAGGGAGAAGACAATGAGCTTGGGTGATCAGCAGTCCACGATTGCTCAGTTCTTGATCTATAGAGCCGGCTTGTGACACCTGCAGTATCCTACGCGGCCTCTATGTTTTAGACAGAGAACATTTTACTCTCCCAATATTTCTCTAATTTAAAGTAAACCTGTCAGTTTACTATAAATGGTCTCTCTAGTCCATCCTCTCTTCCTTTGCTTGCTGGCGCCCGGAGTCAAAAACCTTGTGTAAGTTCTATGTTGATCTGTGTTGGAACTAACAC